CTAGCAAGCTTCACCAGTGACCTATTCTTCTGTTCTACGACACCATTCTATTGAGGAGTCCTTGGTGCGGAGAAATTATGAGAAATTCCATGCTCTTCGCAAAAATCTTCAAAATCTGAATTTTGGAATTCCCCACCATGGTCGCTTCTTATGAAGGCTATGGTGAGTGACTTCTCATTTTGAATTTGCTTCGCATACTTCTTGAATGCTTTGAAAGCATCATTTTTCTGCACTAAAAACAATGTCCATGTGTATCGAGAGAAATCGTCAACAATAACTAAAGCATAAAGGCTACCTCCGAAGCTTTTCGTTCTCGATGGACCAAAAGGGTCCATATGCAACAATTGAAGTGGTCTTGATGTAGAAACCACTTGCTTGGATTTGAAAGTTGTCTTGGTTTGTTTCCCTTTTTGACATGCGTCGCATAACTTATCCTTGATGAATTTTATCTTCGGAAGACCAACAACTAAATCATGCTTTATTAACTTGTTTAAATGCTCCATGTGAATGTGAGCAAATCTTTTATGCCAAAGCCACGCCTCGTTGTTGTTCTCCATTAGACATTTTACCTTCAAGGAAGAGTCATCAAAAGAGATCATAAAAATATTATTAAATCTTTTACCTTTTAGCAAGATGTCATGGGTGACTTCATGTTCTATCAAACATTCATCCTTTGTGAAGTTGATTCGGAACCCTTTGTCACGCAATTGACTTATGCTAAGTAGGTTGTGTTTAAGGCCTTCCACATAAAGAACGTCTTCGATGATTGTACATGGAGGTGAACCAACGGTTCCAACTCCAAGAATTTTTCCTTTATTATCATCACCGTAAGTAACGTATCCTTTGGCCTTTAATGATAGACTTAAAAATTTGTTTATATCTCCCGTCATATGCTTCGAAAAACCGCTATCAAGATACCATTGATTAGAAGTTGTCTTCAAGCATACCTACAACACAAAATCAAGTATTGTTAGGTACCCAAATTGCTTTGGGTCCTTGGTAGTTAGTACCCTTTTCAACCCACACATAATGCCCTTTAGCAACACCAATGTTACGTACATAGCAAGCATTAGGTGTATGGCCTTTGATTCCACAATAAAAACAAGTAGGTTGAAAATGACTTCTATATCTAGGAACATAATTCTTTTTCTTCACAATTCTTTTCTTTTTATGACTTTGATGCATAGTTTTAGAATTGTTTGCCTTTTCTTTAACAACTTGTTTACTTGCTTTCACAAAAATGATTTCATTTGTGCTTGGTTTGGAAAACTTATAATATCCTAGTCCACTTGTATCATTAGGATATCTTTGGTGCCTAAGAATTTCCTCCAAGCCAATTTGACCTTTTTCATATCTTTCCAAAACTCTTTTAAGTTGAAAATTTTGAAAAGATGAGGATTCACAACTTTTGCATACAAGACTTTGTTTTTCATCCACCAATTTTTGTTTTTCATTTTCAATATATTTTTTTAAAGCAGTATTTTGTTCTTCTAAAAATGAAATTCTTTTCTTTTGGGATGAGATGCTTTTATACAAAGTCTTGCATTCTTTTAGAAGTTCATCTATGACTTCTTGTGCATCATTGTCATAAATAGAAAAATTGTTACTAACCTCATCAATTTCTTCATCAGAATGATGTGACGCCATAAGAGCCATATTTGCACATTCATCGCTTTCCGATTCTGATGATGAACTTATTTTGTTATTGTCCCAAGCAACATAAGCCTTTTTATTCTTGAAATCCTTCTTGCCTTTGAATCCTCCTCTCTTTGCAAGTTTCGGGCAATTCGGCTTTATGTGACCTTGCTTCCCACATTCGTAACATGTGACTTCTTGATTTGATGTGGATGCATCCTTTTTCCTGAAATGTCTATTCTTTTTAGGAAAAGAGAAATTTTTATTATTATTAAAAAAACTTATCAAGCTTCTTTACAAGAAGCATGAAATTTTCATCTTCGGAAGTCTCGTCGTCTTTGTCATCCTTTGTGTCAATCTTCAAGGCAATTCCTTTGGACTTCTTTTCTTGACTTTCGTGCTTCTCGAGCCTTCCAAGTTCCAATTCATGCTCTTGAAGTTTGCCAAATAAGGATGCAGATGTCATCGTTGAGAGACTCTTCTTTTCCGAAATAGCGGTCACTTTTGGTTGTCATTCTCTTGTTAAGGATCTTAGGACTTTCAAGTTGAGATCATCATTGGTGAAGGTCTTCCCGAGAGCAATCAAGTGATTTGTTAGATGAACGAATATTTTTTGTAAGGCAACAATAGATTCACCGGGTTGCATACGGAACATCTCATATTCTTGGCTTAACGTGTTGAGCCTTGATCTTTTTACTTCTGCAGTTCCTTCATGTGTTTCCACCAAGGTGTCCCAAATCTCTTTGGCCGATCTACATTGTGATACACGGAAGAACTTGTCCATAATAAGAGCGCTTTGGAGTATGTTGATTACTTTCTTTTCATTAAGAATCTTTTTCTTATCGTCTTCATCATACGTGTTTTTCAACTTTGCGGTTCCAACGCCACTGACCACATTTACTGGATTGTGTGGTCCTTCTTCGATTGCTTCCCATATACCTTCTCCTTGGGTTTCAAGATGTGCCTTCATTCAGATTTTCCAGAAATCGAAATATTCTCTAGAGAACATTGGTGGTTTATTACTACTTCCACCGTCTTTGAAAACCGAGTTGGTGCTAGCGGAAGTCATACTGAATCGTTAGGAACAGGTTACCTTAACCTGCTCTGATGCCAATTGTAAGTTCAGAGTATGCCTAAGAGGGGGGTGAATTAGGCTTTAGAAACTTTTTCCGGTTTTTCGATGTTCTTGAATTTTACTTGGTTGTGATCTTGATGATGAAAGCAGTAAAAAGCAGAATGAAAATGGACACAGAGATTTATAGTGGTTCCCTTCACAATCCAAAGGTACTTCACTCCCCTTTCCACATGAAAGAGAGTTTTCACTATAGTTTTAGAATGTACAACCTATCACACCATCAACCGGTGAGGCCTACTATCTAACAACTATTTCAACAACTTAGTGTGCAAGAACAATCCTCTTGCAAGCAATAACCCTTGTGTCCAACAATCCTGGATCACAAGTCACAAAGAAATAATTCTTGTAATTTTGTAATTTGAGAGTGATATAATAATAATATCAATACAATGATTGATCTTCTCCTTTTGATCAAAATTCACTTTTCAATATCAATACAAGTGTTCAACAATTCTGGATATGAAATGATATGAACAATATGAACACTTTTTGAAAATATTTGAAAAGTAGTGAATTTGATTTAATGATTATTTTGAAAATTATTGGAGGTTTTTTTTCAATTTGAAATTTTTCAGAATTTATATGATTAAAACACCATTTCAAAAAGGTATAATTGAGTATGAATCAAATAGTGAAAACCTTTAGAATTTTGCAATCATGGAATGAGCTTGAGTCTTTGTTGACATCATCAAAACCTTGAGATTGAAGTGTGCTTCTACAGTAGTAGGGTAACTCATATCAGGAATCGTCATCCATTTTTCTCGACCATACACACCTAAGTGTTCTACTTTTAAGGAATTCCTAACTTTAGAAACCGTGTCATAGAACAAATTGGAAAACAATTTTGGGTATTGATGAACTTGAGTATCTAAAACTGCGTTCGGCCCAACGACCATGACTCTTCGCCTTATCCAAGTAAAGCTGCAATAGCCTAAAAACCACAATTTTCATCGTCACCACAAAATTCGATAGCAATTTCTCGGAAGAGAACAACTTTTTAAGCTTCTCGAGTGCCAATTTGAAGTTCTTCTCCCTATCATGATCCAAATAGGCAAAGTCTGGCGAAAACGTCAATTTTGTTAACGTAACGCCAATAATCTCAAGGAGTGGTAGTCAATACATATATGATCACGGTGCAAATAATCAAAAATCTGATAAATCAAAGTATGTTGAAATGATATCAAGGTATGATCACAATGCTAACTGCTACCACTCGACACAGATCTCGGACTAAAATGACATTTTATTTTTATATTATAAATTCCCTTTGAAGATTTACTGTTTTCAGAAGTATTTTACCTTTTATAATTTTTCTCGTCTCTCACAATCCATAATCAATTTATCTTTCCTACCTCGCTGACCATTTGCAGTAAAAGAACGAACAGTCACAACTATAATACCATGTTGTTTGCCAATATTTAGTGTCCAGACTAATATTTCAGATCGGGTCTCAAATCTGTCATTTACATCACATAAAAAGTATACTATCAATATCATATAAAGGCGAGAAAATATTAAATTTAAATTTATTAGATAGAAAATATATTTTGTTTGTGTGGAAGAATTGCAAACAATCGCTACACGAATCTTTTGATGATTCTGTCGGCTCTTGACCACACAAATAAAACAGGTTTTCTAATTTCTGTTCTGTTATCGAAAATTTCAAATACATGCAAAATTTCGGATATAAAGGAAATTTATAAATTTTTGAAAGTTTTTGTAATTTACCGGAAATTTTGATAATTTTTAGTAATGAATACTGGATTTTCTAAAATTTCCAATATTTTGTACAGAATTTTTCCAAATTTTTTATATATACGCGTAAATTTTCAAAAATGCACAGAATGACGTACCAAAAGTTTTGTTTTTAAAGGTTGAAAAAAATTGAAAATTTTAAAATGAATAGTAAAATTGATAGGTAAATATTAGAAAAAAATAGTTTAAAAATATTGAAAGTTTGGAGGGATTTCAGGTATAAAATGAGAGTGGCAAGTTAATTTTTCCATCCAAAGATACAACCACCTATTCTATTTTAAGGATGAAAGAGAGTTAATGGTGTTCGAAAAAGGTGACATAAAGAAAAGGTTCAATTACTAGAGTGTCAGTGTCAGCAATGGCAATAAGTACAAGTAATATATCTCAATGGTCCACCACCACTCCGCAACTCATACCTTCATCACTCTTTTCCATTCTACAATAACATAACCCTTCTCTCCCTTACTCTTCTTCCATGGCAACACCAATCACTCTCTTGTTTTCTCTTATCTTCTTGTTCACCTTCTTCCACTGCACATTTTCTCTTCTGAACCCTCAAGATGAGGTTGGCTTTCTAGTTCAACTTGATCGTGATGTTAACATGGTCCAAACCGAGAGATGTGACTTTTCTGTTGGAAAATGGGTTTATGATGATTCTTACCCTCTCTATGATCCTAACTGCCCTTATCTCAGTACTGTAGTTACTTGTCAAAAGAATGGTAGGCCAGATTCTGATTATGAGAAGTGGAAGTGGAAACCAAATGCTTGTTCTATCCCAAGGTATATCCACATTTCCACCCTTTTGTTTTCTTATGTATATGCACTCATTTAATCAATACATTTCTTTTATCATGTTTTCTTAACTTGTTTATTGCTACTGCAGGTTTGATGCACTAAGGTTTCTTGGAAATATGAGAAGGAAGAGAATAATGTTGGTAGGTGATTCAATAATGAGAAATCAATGGGAATCATTAGTTTGCTTAGTGCAAGGAGTAATACCAACTGGTAGAAAAAAGGTGACTTATAATGGACCTGCAATGGTCTTCCATGCTATGGTAAGAAAGTATTCATCAAACACATTTTCTTTTCTTTCTCTGTAAATTATTGATGTCGGAATTTCGTCTGGTAGGACTTTGAGACATCAATTGAGTTTTTCTGGGCACCACTGTTAGTAGAACTGAAGAAAGATCTAGAAAACAAGAGAGTTTTACATTTGGATTTGATTGAAGAAAATGCAAGGTCTTGGAGAGGAGTTGATATTCTCGTATTTGATTCAGCTCATTGGTGGTCTCACTCTGATAACACAAGCTCGTAAGAAATATTCTTTCTCAATTCATATCATTCATTTTCCTCCATTTAATCTTAAATTCTCCGCTCTTAATGGACACGACCATGAAGCTTACACGAGACTCAACCATGAAACTGACACGTCGACACCAATTGTAATTTAAAAAATTAAAGTAATTGATTTATATGGTTATTTTCTTGACTAATACAGGTGGGATTACTACAAGGAGGGAAATAGTCTGATCAAAAACATGAATCCTATGGTTGCTTATCAAAAAGGACTCAGTACATGGGCAAGGTGGGTGGATCTAAATCTAGACCCCCAAAAAACCAAAGCCATATTCAGAAGCATGTCACCTAGGCATAACAGGTACTATCTATTTGTATATGCTCAAAACCAATTTATCATTTTCTAAACAAAAAATAAAACTAAGTCTCATATTTCACTAGATGAAATTGACATGGATGAAATGCAGAAATGGTGTTTATAGTCAAACCATCTATAAATCTTAATAATTTTTCGTCTATGGTATTTTTTTACACCTTTCACTGTCTTTAGCGATTTGGTTTTTTATGCAGGGAAAATGGTTGGAAATGCAATAATCAGAAACAACCTCTATCATCTCTCAGCCTCCAAAAACATACTCCTGAACCTTTGGTTGTGCTCCAAGAAGTGCTGAAGAGAATGAGGTTTCCAGTATACCTGCAAGATATTACATCAATGACTGCTTTACGCAGAGATGGACATCCTTCAATGTACAGGAAGGCAATAAGCCAAGATGAGAAACAAAAACAGGGAACGGACCATTCTTCTGATTGCAGTCATTGGTGTCTCCCTGGTGTGCCTGATATTTGGAATGAAATGTTGAGTGCGTTACTTTAGTTTGACTGTAATGTAAGATTAAAATATGTTTTTAGTTCCTGTACCCGTGTTTTAGTCGTATAAATTACAAATTTGTATGAATTTAGTCTCTCACTAAAAGCGTGCAGTTTTGTAGTTTATAAGAACTATAAAATGAATGTGAGACCAAAAACAAAACTCATGTTACAGAAACTAAAAGCGTGCAGTTTTGTAGTTTATAAGAACTATAAAATGAATGTGAGACCAAAAACAAAACTCATGTTACAGAAACTAAAGACATGTTTTAGGCTACAATGTATCCCAAGAATTGTAAACAACTGCTCTATATCAGGATTTTGTTAGAGCATTTCATGTTTAGTACTCTTGCATGTATATTGTTGTTTGGTGTTCTATTTATAATTAAAGTTATTATTAGTTAATAGCACTGTGTTTGGATTTTTAATTATGATTTCACTGCCAAAGCAAGTTTCTTCTGTCATTTCAAAGAAAAAATACAGTTAAGAAAGGAAGAAGAATTTCAAAATATGCTTATGTAAAATTTGTCTTTATTTGCTTATTTCAAAACAAGATTGAAAAACATTAAGAACACTAGCATGGATGAGATTACTTCTATGGCTGTTTAGAACTTCAAGAGAAACAAAAAAATAATATATGATATTGGATATTTGTTCTATAAAAAGCATACAAAGAATCAATTCCTCTTGGTCCAAGTGTTAAAGGAGCATGTTTCCCCTTGAATAAAGTCTTGAATTTAAGTATTGTCAAGTAAAAAAAGGTGTTACTGTTGAGTACACACCTCTTATAGATGGACCCCGTCCGGCTCAACTCGAATTAAATTGAGGAAATAATACCAACAAAAACACTCGAACAAAGAATTCAGATTTAGAAAACCTGAAAATAGGCTCATTGGAGACTAATGCAACAAGATGAGTGCAAAACCCAAAAGAGGGGACAACAGGATGGTTCAAAAAAGAGCTTTTGGGAAGTGTTGCAACCCCATTGAAATAATGTTGTTGGATAAAAGCACAATGACAGATATGCAAACTATGATAGAATGGAGAAGAGTAACAGCACATACCAAACAGCCCCATTTCCTCCTTTGATTTAGTGGCTTTTGTTAGAAATTTTATATAGAGGAAATAATCCAACCAAAAAAACCGAGTAACAAACTACAAAATGCTCTACACCAAATTTAGAGGATCTTGAAATATTTCATAGGGATGCTATCATGATATTTCAAGGCCCAAAATTAAGTCACACTCCTCAACAAATTGCTCTATGTTTTATGGAGGGAATATCAAGAATCAGAACTTCACTTATTTGTCTGATGTGATTTCTCCTCTGTTGTTTTGAGGGTGAATTACACCTACAATAATCTTAATACTTATATGTTTGCTGTAAAAGAATTACATACTAGTAAGTGACAAATAATGAAATCGTTTACAACACGTTAAAAGTTTAATAAGCCTATCCACTATTATCGTATTGAAATAAAAACTATAAATATCACAGAATCATATCTGTGATAATGAATTATGAATTAATTGATTAGAAATTCAAACTGCAACAAATTCATTCATATAATTGACAAAAATATCTTGATATCTTCACTCCAAAGCAATAGAAGACACTTGTATAGCTAACCATTTTTTCTGTGCAGTAATTGCACAAGCAGCGAAAATTTCATCATCTCTTGTCGCTAGCTACATATATCCATAATCACAGAGCAACGAGTTATAATAATGAGCCCTCTACATGCTTGGTCTTTTCTCTTACCATTGTTTGTACAAACAGCTCCCCGGCTCGGTATGAAGATCGTACCTGCACAACACAATTATAGGGCTCATAATCAAAATGACAAAAGTTAAATAATGACAATATGATTAAACAATCTACCCAAGAAGACAGTTAAAGGAACAATGCACATTGTTTTAGTCCATTTAGGTAGATTGGTAGTTTTGTTCACATATGATTTGTATGCTAACTGTTATTAAGTCATATATATACCAAAAGAAGGCATGCAATAGTTACAAGCGTACCAGTGGACCACTGGCTACATAACGAAAACCGATAGACTCCCCATATTCTTTCCAGAAGTCAAACTTCTCAGGCGTAACATACTCTTTAACTGTCAAGTGCAAAGGAGTTGGCTGCAACAACATGTTTTATTAAATTACAACCCACAACAATGAATCAATAGGTCATATATTAAATTAAACACAGTAGGCCATAGATTAAATGAAACATGAAATCTATAATATGATCATGTGAATGAATGGCATCACTTGTAACCAAGGATTGAATTTTAAAATTTATTTTCTAAGGTTATAGGAGGAGGCACCGGAATACTTCACATGAGCTAACCTGCAAGTACTGACCAAGAGTCAGAATATCCACATTTATGGCCCTTAAATCCATCATTGTTTTCTTCACCTCATCATCAGATTCTCCAAGGCCCAACATTATCGAAGATTTTGTTATCATACCCTCCTTGCTTTGTTTTGCATGGTTTAGAACTGCCAAGCTTTGTTCATACCTGCAGCCATACTATGCATAAGAAACGGAACTAATGATGATTCGTAATGGAGAAAAACATACCTACCAAAACAGAAGGTGAGTTTTAAATCATATTCCATAATACTAGTAGTAATGTAATTGGACAGCCCACAACCAACATGCTTTTACTATAACATTTCCTCCATTGTTTCCCATGTCCCTATTTTTAGGGATATTAACATTGGAGAATAAGGTAATTGGAATTTGTAACTCACAAAATATTAGATATGAGTCTCATTTTTTTGTTATTAGCTGGCCATATACTTCCCTACTTATACTTAGCAACTGAACAGATAAGACATAAAGAATTAGAAAATGCAGTTAAAAATTGAATAGAAGACATAGATGATATGCAAAACTGATTCGTGAATTTTTTGGTGTAGGAGCTTTAGTATTGATAGGCTAACAGGCCCATTCCTATCAAGTATATTTAGTGATATTTTATTTTCTTAACCTTCTCATATTTAATATGTTATCATTGGGTCCATGAGGTATCTGTTAAGTGGTAAGATCTTGGTCTAACTCGAGAAATGGAGTTTAAATCCCTTAAGAAATACTCTCCCTGGTCCTTTTTACAAGGAACACTTCACCTTTTTAGATTTATTAAATAATTAATGTATCTGGTCTGCATTATAGACCAGATACATTAATTATTTAATCAATCTAAAAAAGTGAAGTGTTCCTTATAAAAAGGACCGGAGGGAGTATATATTTTTCCTACAAATATATTCCAATTCTACCAGCAGTGTTAATGACGGACAATGGTAAAAAGCCAAAATTCCACCGCCATAAACGATATGATGTTGCCGTCTTTCACAGATTTGCCATGGCAAATGCCAAAAAATCCGCCACGGCACTGCCATAACCAATATTTGACAGCCCTGCACTGAAGTAACATTTTAGGGTTCTATGACAAAGCAGTTGGATCAGCAATTCAGCTTACCCAGCTCTGGGATCTCTAACAAGTCTTTGGAGCCGCTTGACTGTCTCAATGTTGTGAGCAAAGACATCTAAACCTGAGTGAACCAGAGTTTCTACGGCCTTTAGATCTCCCCGAAAATCAGAGGTTAAACACTCAACCATGATCTCAGGTTTGATATTCTGCAAAATTAATCAAAAAAAGTTTGTACTCATAATTTGCATTATATATCTTCTGTAGATTGCATCTTTAAACATCAGACTACATATCAATGCACCTTCATAGCTTTCACAGTTTGTGCAAAATGCTCACTTCCTCCATCAGGTATATCATCTCGGTCCACACTTGTTATGACAATATAATCCACACTGAAAAATCAGGAATTCGTAATTAATAGGACATTACAAATAGAACCGAAACCAGGCTTAATTTTATTAGGTGGGATCAGTTATATGTACCAATCAATGCCATTAAAAGGGAATTAGATGCAAGAAAACTCGTATGAAGAATGTAATATGGTCATCATCTATGTAAGAATGGCCAGTTGCACAACTTGGGTGTTTGTTGTGTGTGCACTGTAAATGAAATGGCCATCAAGAAAATTATTTCTCCCGTGCTTATCTGATTCAGATTTTTATCACAATCGTAGAAATTACTAAAATATTTTGGACAATATGCGTATTTGAAACAAAAAACATGTTATATGTTTATTGCAATGTCTTAAAACCATTCACTTATTGACATATATCAAGGCATAACCTGTATGTAAGCTTTCGTACAGGTCTACTAAGTCTGTATATAAGTAAGACTTCTTCAACTATGTAAATGCCCCGTTGCAGAGTAGGTGAAATCTGCCTCTAGCTAAGACAGATTTAAAAAGAAGAGGCTTAGCATTGACTCTTGAAAAGGGATTATGTGATATCAGGTAAAACAAGTCAAAACTTTGTCTTATGAGGTCATGTGTTCAAGTAACATCTCATACGATCAGTTATCAATGTGAAACAGAAACATCAATATATTAACATGTTATATTAATGTGAAACAGAAACATCAATATATTAACATGTTATATTAATGTGAAACAGAAACATCAATATATTAACATGTTATATACGCACCCCCAACTGGCAATGGCCTTGGCAGTATTTTCCGGTTCCATAGGATCAGGAGGCGATGGGTTACTGCTGGTCTTCACGGCACAAAATCTACATCCACGAGTGCACGTATCTCCTAGAACCATGATTGTGGCTGTTGCAATACCATCATCACCTCCATTCCAACACTGTCCATCAGAATATAAAGGTCAAAACTACTTATCTAGACTAGAAGCATATAAATACAAAATTTAAATAGCTTAAAAAAAACTACATAGTTTTGTTTCTGTTTGATTCAGAGCGCTATTTTTTTAACAAAACCAGTGTAGGCTCTCTATATCACTGGTAAACCCTAAGAAATGAAAATCTCAACAAAAGCCATTTTTTCAAAAAGCAAATTTTCAACGACAATTTCATAATTGGAATAATAGCTACCCAGTTAAGTGAAAGAGAACAAAAAATGGAACCTCTCCTATATTAGGGCACTGTGCTTCTTCACAAACAGTGTTGAGTTTCAACTGAGAGATGGATTCCTTAATTTGAGAAAATCTTTCACCCTGAGGAGCTTTCTGTCTCAACCATTCTGGCTTCTTTACATCGGGGTCTCTTCCAGTGAATGGACCCAACCCACCTGGATAGGAGGGTCCAGTCTTCTTCGGCATATCGGAAAGTGAAAGCGATTGATCCTTGGTCTTGCATCGAAGTGTGAAAGGTGAAGAAAAATAGGAAGATTTTGAAGATGGAATTGAGGAGAAGGAAAATGAACAAGGATGGAAAAGTAATTGATGAAACATTGAAATATGCAGGGAAGGGAAAGAAGAAGACGTGATAGAGAGAAGAAGAGTAGAAGGTATGTTATGGGATTGTTCAATTGCATTTACATCTTGCAGTTGGTTGTAGGTAGCCAGCTTTGGTTATTCCGTCTGTGTTCCGATCGTAGGTAGCTCCTACTAACATAATTGAGTTAAATATGTTTTTAGGATTTATAATATACTAAATTTTGTTTTTGTCTCAGTAAAAAAAAAAAATAGTTTGTTATGATCCTTACTAAATAATTATACACGATTATTTTAGTTTTATTGTTAAATCAATGTTTATTTTTGAATGATTATTTTGCAGATATATTTAGAAGGCTATAAAAAATTTCTCCAAAAAAAACTCAAAATTTTGATTTATATAATAAAATTTTCATTACTTTTATTATTATCTTTTGAAATTTTAAAAATTCATATCTCATTTTAAAAAACTATATAATTTGGTAGAGAAATATTTTATAGTAATCTGAACACGTGTGAAAAAAATTATTTAAAAATTTAGGAGTAATTAAATAGCTTTTAAAATTTTAAAAAATAGGAAGGACTAAAACTACATGCATAAAATTTTTATAGGGAATAAAATATGTTCTTTTTTTTTATGGGGGCTAAAAATAAAATGTGAGATATTTATAGGGATCAAAAACATATTTAACAGAACATAATTATATAAAGAACTCAAAAAAATTGGATAAAGTTGTATAGAGTAAATTGCATTTGAAAATTTACAAAATTTAAATTATTAAATAAATAGTTAAATATAATAAAAATGATATAGTATTAGTTAATTGGTTAAATATGTTATACGTCCCTATAAATAACTCAGAATTCAGTTTTATTCCTTTTATGTTTTTGTTCAAAGAATTGTCCACCTAAAGTTTTTCGTCTCTAATTTCCGTCTCTGCCGTCTATTTCACTTAACGACATTCTACGTGTACGCTGATTTGGCTTTCTTTTTTAATTATTTGGAGGTGTTTGAAGTACCACGTGTGTAAGGAAAATACACATCAGCCTACACGTTAGTGTATATGGTGAATGTTTAACCTAATTTCATCATTTCATATACGTTTGTCCTCTTTCGTCTCATTTCATCTTCAGCTTCTTCTCTTTGTATTATTTCTTTCCATTTCTTCAACCGTGCAAAAATCTTTACCAAAATTCATTTGTTTTCGCCCTCTTTCAACTCCTTTGATGTCGTATTCAAGAACAAGTCCTAAGAAACCCATTAACATGTCTTTGTCGTCTGTGTGAAGTTGTCATCGAGGAAGGAATTGTTGTTGTGATGCTTGTATGATTTCATACGTCTGCAAGAATGGTCACAATAAAAGCAGGCTTTTCTGGAGATGTCCTTTTTGGCAGGGTGAAGAAACTTGTGATCTTTTTGTATAGGATGAAGATTTGGTCGAAGAAAATGTTAATGGTTTTGAATAGGTAGAAAACTACATGATGAAGGAATTGGAGACGGTTGAGTTGTTGAGAGAGTTGTACGAAGGTTCGAAGAAGAAGAACATGAAGATGCAAGCGAAATTGAGATCAGAGGCATGGGCTGGAAAAATCAAGTTATATGCTTTGTAGTTTCGTTATGATTAATGTGTATCAATTAATGAAATGTAATTGTTGAATATAGGTTGTTCGATAAATGTAATGACAGTAATGACAGTGTTACGTTATGTTTGTAATGGAATTTTAGATGATCAATGTAATGGAACTATGGATGTTCAATGTAATAGAATTGTGTTTGATCACTTTGTTTCTAAGTGTTTTTATTGGATTTGTGTTTGCATTATAACTTTTAAAATTTGGCATAGTGTCTTCTAATTGACTTGTAAATTCTGTCAAAATATATTCTAAATTTTGGCATTATAACATCTAAAATTTGGTATAATGTCTTCTAATATTGCTTCAATTTTGGCATGATGTCCCATTAAATTTTGCCTTAATTTTGCATGATGTCCCCTAAAATTTTGCCTCAATTTTGGCATTATGTCCCCTAAAGATTTGTCTCACTTTTGGCATCATAATTTGACAAGCAATCTGACATGAAATAAATTCATTAAAAACATAGGAATTCAAAGTCAATACATGGACTTAGTTTGATCCAATACATGGTGTAAGATTGTAGGATAACCAAAATTACAAGTCAATGTATATCAAGTACAAATTCTCATAGATTACATCATAGCCAAAAAAACATAGTTAATCAAAGCTACAAAACACAGTTATGGTAACAACATAGCCAAAAAAACAGATCATTCAACTTCTTCAAATTCCATCCTCATTGAGTCAAGCTTTTTTGAATTTCTTCTCAAATTTTTCTACCCTTTTGTTTTGGTTGTTTTGACGTATCATCTTCAGTGGGCACAACTGGATCTTCAGGGTGTTTTCCAGGCCCCTTGATGTCTTTTGTTGTTATAGTCATGAGTCTTTCACTCTTTCTGGTTTGACTCACAGCTCCTGGAACTTTTTTCTTCTTTGCCATCATAGACTTGACCTAAATTGTCAGTTAACAACCATGAATAAACTTAAATGGCATAAAAAACAATTCTTATTAACAAGTATAATCTAACTTACAAGATTACTGTAGGTTGCCTTGACCTTTCTTGGATGTTTTAATGCTTTGGAGGGTTTGACTTTTGGTGCACTCCTAAAGAAGGTCTTGACACCACCAAACATTGAAGGACTTGTGTTTACAGCAGCCTATTTGATAGAGCTTAATTCAACTGTAAGAGGTTGAATGTCAAGAACAATATCCATTCCATTGTTAATATCATTGAGATTTGCTTCTATAACATCTGGATCTATTTCATTAAGGTATTCTCTTCTATCTGTACTTGGTGGTGGTGCTGTATCAGAAGTTATGAGTTGTGTAGCCTGAGCATCTGTTGGTGGTGGTGCGGTATCATAAGCTATGAGTCATGCAGCCTAAGCATCTGTTGGTGGTACAATTTTAAAAGCTATGGGTTTTGCAACCAGAGGATTTGACACCTTCCTCATAACATTTGACATAAGTCGATTTGTGATAACACTTATGGACATAATTAATGGGATCATCAACTTTCCTATGGATTGCAGCAACTGAATGTCTACTTGGAACTCCAATGAGATCCCAAAAACTACATGAACATGTTTGATTAGTCAAATCAACCACAAAACTATCAGTAAACATGACATGGGTAACTTGGAATGTCAATTGTCCAGCATAAGTTATTGTCCAACTTGCATTCTTTTCAATATATCTATCTAATCTCTTAAGTGGTTTTAACATGATTCTACCCTTATACCCATCAACCTTTTCTCTTAAAGTTTCAAACCTACCCATAAGATAAGACCTAATCCATTCAAACATTGTTATAATTGGTTTATCCCTTTGAAGCAAGATAGTGGCATTAAATTATTCACTTTAATTATTCATCAACACATTACACTTAGAATACAAAGGAAGTGCATGCTTACACCACTTTGTTTTAGGAATTTCCTCCAACCATTCATATGCATCATTGTTGACTTCCTTAATTTTCTGCATGCATTGATCAATAGCCTCAAGATATGTTGCCTTTGCTACAACCATCATTAGATCCCTAAATAGGGTACCACCTCCAAACATCTTTTAAAGTTAGCATACAGATGTCTATCACATAATCTATGTTCAAAAGTTGGGTATTACTCCTCAAACACCTGTACAAGACCCTGAAAAAATCAAACAATATAAACAATAGTTCAAGCAATAGAAGTAACAAACATCTAAAAAAACCAAACAGAATAAGAAGTGCACTTGCCTTTTGTTGGTCAGATATGAAACACCACCTTTTTTCACCAATGTCTTCAAGAAGTAACTACATAAACCAACTTCAAATCTCCTTTGACTTAGTTTCTACCACTCCAAAGGCAATAGGTAAATACTGGTCATTAAGGTTTCTTCCCATAGTTATTAATAATATCCCACCATACTTGTGTTTTATATGACATCCGTCTAGTCCAATAAATGGCCTACAAGCAAATTTCAAAGTTTTCTTTGTTCCATCAAAGCCATGTAACACCTTTCAAACCATGGTAATAAACCTGGACTTGGAGATTGAATGTTCATCTTGAAACTATTTCTTTGTGAAGTCCTCCTCAATTCATCCCCATATGACCATAACAAACTATATTGTTTACTAGAGTCTCCCTCCACTATCCTTTTGGCAATCTGTCTTGCCTTAAATTCCCTACAACAAGGGATTTTAGTTGCATACCTCATCCTAACATCTGCAATTACATCATTCAACTTCATTTTGTTATTGTTTTTCATCCTATCAACTATCACTTTTGCAACCCAGACAACTTTGGTACTCTTGTTAAAAAGTTGTCTTCCACACTTATGTTTATCAGAAAAGGTCTTAATTCTAAAATTTGTTGATGTTAAGACTTTACTGCACAGTACAGTGTAATTGCATTGTGATTTTTCCTTGCAAACCACCCTACGTCTCACTGCATCATTTTTTTCAAATCTGGTTCCCTCTCATTCAATATATTATGTTCCAAAATAACACTCTTGAACTACCTCAGTGATGAAAACTCCATTCCCACCTTGAATTTATATTCCTTTTTAATCACATCTTCCTCATTGAACCTAACAACTTTTGGCCTATCATGACCACTGTCATCTTCAGCACCACTATCAAGCTCATCAATAATACACTCATCTTCAATTACATGTTTATTTCCCATCTCTGGTGTAATAAGACTTGGTCTCACTGCCTCATTAGAGCCTGTTACATCTGCAGTAGGTATGTTTGTAGGCTGACCATCAAATTGCTCATCAAAAACCTCATCAAAACCCTTCATCATTTATTTTTCACTATCTTCAAATTTGACATCCTTCACACCTTCATCACTAGAACCCTCATCTTCACATTTTTTAGCCTTGTTCCTCTTTCTTGCATTCTCCATCAAAGTTGCATCCCATATACTTGGTTTAGGCTCAGTGTATATTTCAATCTCAC